TAACGGCTGCCCCGGGCGCGGGGTACCCTCCGGCGGGCAGAGCCAGCCGGTGCCCCTCGCCGAGCTGTGCCGAGGGGCTGCGGGGGGCTGGTCGCAGATGCAGGTAACTCCTGCCCCGCCAACGCCTTTGTCCTTGGATCAGCAGCGCTTGGGACGCGCCTCGGCGTTTGTGTCCAGTGGAGAAGAGGTGTCTCCTCTCGAGGGGCGAGGGCGGCCGTGGCAGAGCTCCTCTTCCTCCAAACACCTTGTGAATGATTAACTGGGTGGGGGAGGACAGCGGGTTTGATGAGCGGTCTGTGTTTAGATAGCACGTGCTTGGAATTTGGGAGGGATTGAAATTAAAGTTTGAAAGATTGAAATTTGGCTCAGTTGGACTGTGACAGGAGCTGGGCCCCCTCCCCGGCCCCCAGAGAGGGAGCCGCTGCCCGGACCCCTCGGTGGGCACACGGATCCCTCCTGGCAAGAGTCTCGCAGAGCCCTGACACCAGGCACAGACCCTGGAAGAGCTGCGCCCTCGGATAGGATGGGCCACAGCTGGGTGCTGTGTTTTTGGGGCTCTCTGCCCTGCCCCTGTGCTGTCCCAGGGTGCCCGGGGCAGGGACCCGAACCAGGAGAGTTTCGTTATTTGCACGTGGTTGAACAAAGTGCTCTGGAAGAAACACTTCCCCGGTTTTCACCCCGGTTCCACATGGGCTGTGGCAGCGACGGTCTTGCAGGTGCCGGCTCAGTGGGGTTTGGCCTTTTGGGGATTTCTGCTGCTCCTTGTCGAGCTCCTCTCCCGCAGCTCCCTCCGATCTGGCCTGTCCGAGCGCTGCCGGGAACTTTTTCCCTTTCCCCAGGCCCAGATGGGTTCCCTCCGCTCCGGTGGGGTTTCTCCCTGGCAGGGGCAGGCGCTGGGGGAGGGCGGCATCGGAGAGCCCTGAAATCCAGGTCCGGATCCGATGAGGCCCCGGGCTGCCGGAGCCGGGGAGCTGCTCTCCCTGTGTGTAGTGGGCTGATAATCCTCAGGGATTTTGTTTGACGCTTTCAAATATGAAAACTGTTTGGTGGAGATTAGTTTCAGCAGAGGAAAACTT